GGGTGGGCCAGACAGGGAGGCTACCTCGGCTTTGCCACCAAGTTCAAGATCCATACATTGAGATCCAGTCAAAGTTAAACTGGTAACAATAAATAAAAGTTGCCCATATTTAAATCCAATCACTTGTGTGTGGTCTCGTTATTTCGGGGGTTGGCAGTCAATTGAAATATTATCTAGCTGCATCAGTGTATTCTAAGAGGAGGTTATATTTTAGTGAATAACATGATTTAAATGATGTTGGCACATCTCAAAATGGTCAGTAACTTACTAGAAGAAAAAGAAAGTCACAGAGTAGGAGAAAGAATTGTTCTTTAATGATCCCTTGTAATATATGTGACACACACAAGGTGGCAGAATGAGCATAGGGCTACCTTAAAATGGAATTAAAAAAGGAAGGGAGGCATACAGCAAAACCTCTCCCTCCCCACATTCATTCCTGCATTTCTTAAAAGCCAAGTGGTTTCTGCATATGTAGAAAGGTGGATATGATTGTTTAAGACTTCAGTCTTGCCAATCATTCCATCCCCTCCTAATAATTGGCAATTAAATGTAAATCTTCAGAACTCACTGGCTACTTCTGGAAATTAATAACCCAGCCAGCTATTCAAACGCTCATTTTTATTGAAAACACGATTCTATCAACATATTGATTCTCTAAGTGAGCCTGAACTTTTCTCAGCTGAAGGACAGCTGCAAGAACATACCCTTAGATAACATTTCATTTTGCTTTATGGATTTATGGGTAAATTCACCCCTGATGTAAGAGGGTGTAACCCAAACAATGTTAATGGAGTTGTATTCATTTATTCTGAGTGTGCGTGTCACATTTTTGATTAACTTTTAATTCATCCATATAAGAACCTTCATTTAGTGTATCATTTTGGGAGGGTGTGCCAAGATTAAATTTCTCCCCCAATTGGGTACAAATTCCAGTATGGTTATATTTCATATAGTCAGGCCTCCTCCTGAGCAGATGGACATTTGTCTAGATATCTAGACAGGGCAGATGTTCATGAGCATCTATTGAATATAGCGTTCTGTTGCCAACTACGAGTATGCCAATGTCACCTGAAGTGACCTCCAGCCTGTTACCTGCCTTGTTTATCCTTTTGATGGAAATTAAGAATGACCAGTCACCTCCCTGAGTAGCAGATATTGACCTTGTGTAGGAGGCAACTCTTCTGTGGAATAAATATTGCTTTTTGTGCACTAAGCATGTTGATAATCCCGAAGTCCATGTATTGTAATGACAAAAAACAAACAAAATGAAACAAAACCCATCAAGATGTAGGGTTGTGCAGGGATCAATGTATTTGCACAAATATATTGTATTTGCTCAAACTACATACATTTAAGCAAACTCCCTACATGCATAGAAACACATGTGCAGAAAACATTTTGAGGGAGGTTGCAATATTTTTTCACAAGAATGTGTATTTTTGCAAAAATATGATTTTTCTGCTCTTTTGTCAAAGTATCTCAAGTTATCTGACACCCACTTTTTATTGAGGATAGGAATATTAATGAGTATTTTTCACATCCTGAAGAGATTAGATTTTGTCAAACCATGGCTTGCATCCTGTTAGTACATCTCCCTTAAGATATCATGATGCCCTGTTTTGGTCACTGAGTTTCCATTAAGCAACAAGCAACCCCCTAAACCTACTGTGACAGATTCTCTTTGCAGGCTGGCTCCATAGTTGCAGAAAATTACATGCAGACTGCTAGCTCACACACAGCTCCCTAAAATCATAGGCAGTTCTTTGTCTCTCAGATCCAAACTCAATTCCACTGACCTCTGTCAGCCTCCTTCATACTACTTCCTGAATTGTGATTGGCTTCCTTCAGCCAGGCTTGGCCAGCTCCTCCTTCACGCTCACCTTTTAAATCATGCAGCCCCCCTTAAACTGCCATTTCTGAGTTGTTTGAGAGTTAAGGGATCAGTGGAGATATATCCAGCTATTTTTAAAAGATCTCTGAAGGACCTTGTTAGTGCCTGTTACAGCATGTCCAGGGAAAGAAAAATATCTAGGCACACAATTGATTCCCACTCTCCAACAAGTCACACATGCCATACATCAAGGGAAGCACTGACAGCATAGGGAAGATGATGAGGAAACACAACATACAAACTATCTACAGACCCACTAAGAAAATCCAACAAATGCTACATTCAGCAAAGGACAAGAGGGATCCTCTCACCTCTGCAGGAGTCTACTGTATACCATGCAGCTGTGGACAAGTCTATATAGGGACCACCAAACGCAGCAATGGCCTAACACGAATCAAGAAACATGAAAGGCACTGAAGACAACTTCAACCAGAGAAGTAGCACCTGATGAACCAACCTGGACACAGGATATTGAGAACACAGAAATGCTGGACCACTCTAACAATTACCATGTCAGGCTACACAGAGAAGCCATTGAAATCCACAAGCATGTGGACAATTTCAACAGAAAGGAAGAAACCATGAAAATGAACAAAATCTGGCTACCAGTACTAAAAAAAACCCCTCTAAAATTATAACAGTAAATAAATAAAAAAACCCCTCAAACACAGGGGAACTCCAGACAAGAAATAATCAGGAACACCTAATCACTTCTCAACAAAGGAATTTCCCAGGCAGTAATAAGCCACGCCTAAAAAGTGTCAGGCCATCAAATGCTAATCAAGGTAGCCAATTGAAACATTCACACCTAGTTCCAACAGACAAGAGATCTTTCTCCTACCCTGGACCTTCCACAGACATACAAACCCAAATTTCCTAGTTTCCAATAGACCTCAGAATCTCTGAGGATGCTTGCCACGGATGCAGGTGAAACATCAGGAGAGAATGCTTCTAGAACATGGCCATACAGCCCGAAAAACCTACAACAACCCAAGCCACACATGGCTGTGTGTGTGTGTGTGCTGGCTTACAAATTGGGTTTGGAGGAGGTGGATTAGTATTGAAAAATACAGTTACAATGATATAGCTATCTGACACATGCAGGTTCTCAGCTCATGCCTTTAGAGGTTTGCTATTACACAGTTCCAAATATTAATAGTTTTAAATACTCTGATAATTATTTTAGTATTTAGGCAGATTGAAGACTCCAAGTGCTACTTTGTACAACCATTCTTTCTTCCTAATGAGATTTACTGTGATTAAAAAAATAGAAGAGGTGGAAGGATTAGAAATGCAAGACAGTGACATCTGGATCCTCTATAAAATTCCATAACAAGGCAGAGTGAGTATAAAATAAAAGCCTTGTCTAGAGGGTTATAAAACAAATTCATAGAGCATCATGATAGGATTATAAAATCTTGTTAAATTGACCCATTATGTTATTTAGTTTTCCCCCTGTTCTTATTTTTTATATAAGGGACAGACATTCCTGTTGAATGTGTCATTCTTACAATTGCCACTATTTGTCAGAATTTTCATATACCCCTTCTAAATTGTTTATCTCATGAGGTAGAGTCCTGTTTTCCTCCTTGTACCAAAGCATACACAAATAAGAATAAGAATAATAAGAATAAGAACCAGGATATTATAGGTCACGTGTTTGCTACACATGCTGTGAATATCTAAAATTAAACATTCTCATTGCTTTCTGTGGGAGAGTTTAGCATCTATTTACCTTTGTTATATGTACAATAAATGGAATTAGGTTCAGAAGATGGAGCACCTTATAGAATTCCAAGTTTAACAGTTTTAATGATTGAATTGAGACTCTTGTCACAGTTGTATTTTGGACTTGATATCTGTCCATCCCTTGATATTTTATCACCAGTTATCATATCACACAGAGAAGGACTTAGATGGCCTCTCTATTCACAGGAAAGCACAAGAGGATTCACGGGTGTTAAATCAATCTATATTTGTGATCACATAGTCATAGATCTTATTGTGTGTATAAAATAAACTCTATGGGTGAAGTGATACATGAAGCAGGGATTTCTTCACATGCTAGCTGACCACATTGATGGTGCAGGTGGCAATTTTGTTTACTGTTGGCAAGCCATGGGACTAGATGGGATCCCTGACAACTCAGGTTTCAGCAGTGGCAGGGAGAGCTTTTGCACAATTAAAACTTATGCGTCAGCTGCGCCCGTTCCTTGGGAAGTCTGACTTGGCCATGGTGGTCCACGCTCTGGTTACATCTCGATTAGACTACTGCAACCCTCTCTACATGGGGCTGGCTTTGAAAACTACTCGGAAGCTTCAACTGGTCCAATGGTCGGCAGCCAGGTTGCTAACGGGAGCGGCGTCCAGGGAACGAACCACTCCTTTGTTGTTTCAGCTCCACTGGTTGCCGATTAGCTTCCGGGCACAATTCAAAGTCCTGGTTTTAACCTTCAAAGCCCTAAATGGTTCTGGCCCACCTTACCTGTCCAAACGTATCTCCTGGTATGAACTATCATGCAGTTTAAGATCGTCAGGAGAGGCCCTGCTCTTGATCCTGCCACTCTCGCAAAGGTGGTTGGTGGGGATGAGAGACAGCAGTTGCCCTCTGTCTGTGGAACTCCCTCCCTAAGGACATCAGGCTGGCCACTTCCCTCCCGTCCTTCAGGAGACAACTGAAGACCTGGCTGTGGGACAAGGCATTCAACTAGAGGCATGGACTAGTGGAAAATGGCAGCTTGAAAAGAAATTTGAACCTTACAACATTACGGCATTGGAAGCAAATACATAAATAGTTCACACAGCTCTACAGTACTCTCACATTATATTTCAATGTGTCAGAGAAAGAGAAATATACTCTTGTTGATAATGCTTTGTTAGCATTGTTTGATACTCTGAATCATTCAGTATTTCTGGAATCATTTTCCAAGTTGGGAATACTGATTTGCAGGTTTCTGTACCACCTGATTCATTTGAGGGGAGTCATTGTGATCTACATTCAGTTCCCTCCTTTGATGAAGAATGGGAAGAAAAGAGGCAAGGAGAGTAGCATTATGCAATATTTTCTGAATTGTGCCTATAACCACAAAAATAAATATTTGTCACTCACCTACACAGGCAGTTCAGGATCAGAATGGGCAGCTTTTCACTATGGCAGCCAGCCTGCTTCAAGCTATAAATCGGATTCCTACTGCTGTCTATCATGCTGTTCTCTGGAAATACAACCTCTTCATAGTTTCCTTATGGCAAGCAGTATGTGAACCTTCTACCTTGTTTTGCATGGGAATGGCTCAAGAGTTTGTGGTCCTCATCTTAGAGTCCTTATTAAGGAGAAATACTTGCTATGGCATGCAAGAAGAGATCTTTAGCATAAGCACAGAGATAATATATGTAGGTTATTTTAACACATTTTGTTTAGGCCACAGGAATGGCAAATGGACTCCAACCTAAAGCCTAAAATGGTTTCTCAAAGCGGGAAGCAACAATAAAACTTTTATCCACTTACTAAGCCAGCCCTTGAAGGGTAACATAACTCTCATTAAGACTGTGAAAAGTCCTTTGATCACGGTGAGTAGCCGTTCCTTTCATTTGCTCTTTCACTGATGGGATTTGGATAGAAATGACTTAACTAGATATGATAAATGTACTGGGGTTCAATGGCCAATATCTTTACTCATCGCTTTTTTCATTCAAACCCTTTTCCCATCTGAAATGTGAGATTAGGCAGGCCTGACCCTGCTCTAACTACAGAAGATGTGGTTCATGGAATGCACTCCTGAAAATAATAATGACAAAAGTGTGTGAGAGGATGAGTGACGCAGACACATACACACAGGGAGGAGGGAGATAGGAGGAAAAAGTCAGATATATGTTTCAGAAGCAGTGTCTCTACATGACACTTGTTATGGAGCATATCTTGCAAATATGTTTGTCTGTGGCTGGATCTACATTGCCCTATATCCCAGGATCTGATCCCAGATTATCTGCTTTTTCCAGATCAGGGGTCCTCAAACTTTTTAAACAGAGGGCCAGGTCACAGTCCCTCAAACTGTTGGAGGGCCGGATTATAATTTGAAAAAAATATATGAATGAATTACTATGCACACTGCACATATCTTATTTGTAGTGCAAAAAAAAAAAACACAAAACAAAACAACACTTTAAAACAATACAATAATTAAAATGAAGAACAATTTTAACAAACTTACTAGCCGTCCCCTGCCATGCTGTGGCCCGGTATGTGTATATGTGTTTTTGTGTGTATATATACATGTGTATATGTGTATGTATATGTATATATTTGTGTATATGCATACACATGTGGTTTTGAACATGTGTTGTAATGTATTATTTATTTTTTGGCTTTTAAAGTCTCTTCCACTGTGTTTTTCAGTGTTTTTATGAGAGATGGTCACTTGTTGGTCTGATAGGTATAGTGTGTCCAAATTTGGTGTCAATTCGTCTAGTGCTTTCTGAGTTATGTTAATCCCACAAATGAACATAACATTTTTATTTATTCAATTAGTATTTCAATGGGAAATGTGGGCCTACTTTTGGCTGATGAGATAGGATTATTGTTGTTGCTGTGTACTTTCAAGTCATTTCAGACTTAGGTTGACCCTGAGTGAGGGCTGGGTAAATGACCTTGGAGGGCCATATCCAGCCCCCAGGACACAATGTGAAGACCTCTGATCTAGAGAATACAAAATGTATTTGAGTTTAGGTTATACACACAGATCCAATAGAACAGTGGTTCTCAAACTGTGGGTCCCCAGGTGTTTTGGCCTACAACTCCCAGAAATCCCAGATAGTTTACTAGCTGTTAGGATTTCTGGCAGTTGAAGGCAAAAACATCTGGGGACCCAGAGGTTGAGAACCACTGCACTAGAATGTCTGGGGTGCAACAGGTCACTATTTCTCAGTAACGCATAAGGGGATATCTTTTTGAAGATAGAGTAGCCTAGTTTTATGCTTCTCTAGAGACTAGGGCATAGAGAAATGGATTCAAACTGCAGAAAAAATATTAAATATTAGGAAGAATTTCCTGAAGGCAAGAGCTGTTCAACAATGGAATATACTGCCTTGGAGTGTGATAGAGGCTCCTTCTTTGTAGTGTGGTACAGTTTCTGTCTTTGAAGGTTTTTAAATGGTGACCAGATGACCTTCTGTCAGGGGTGATTTAATTGTGTGCTTCTGTATAGCAGGAATTGGAACTGGATGGTTCCTGGGGTCTCCTCCAATTTATGCGTATGTCTTCAGCTCCCAGACTTCTGTATCCATCAGGGCATAATAAGGAGTATCTACGATATGTCATGCATGCTAAAGCAGTGTACTTGAGAAACAGTTTTGAAGTGTCTAAGATCCTTTGAAGTTAATGGAATTGAACCAAGTGGGAGGTGGCGAGTCTTCAGATTGTGCTGTTGGCTATAGCTCCCTCGACACATTGGCCCATCTTATGTTGGAATGATTGCTTTCCGTTTTCACAGGGTATCTTTTCATTTTGTGGGCAGATCCTTGAAATGGATACCAGATATACAGAGAATGTGATAAATCTGTACTATCAGCATTTGCAGAAGAATTTTGAGGATTTTTAAAAGAGAAAGCACGAACAGATTCATTTCATTACTAGTTTCCTTATGAGTTGGAACAAAGAGGGTTTAATTCTTCCCATGCCTACCTCCCCCAACACTGTTGCATATAAAATATGGGACTCAAACTGTAAAATCTGCTGCAGTGATATGAAACTCATCCCACACTTGGGTATATTTTCTCAGAGTGCTGCAGTATGTCATTCATTCATGTGCCAGTGTTGAAGCACCAAGATATTTCCTGTACCAGGGACAATAAATACCTACCTTTTCCAGCGGGCCTACCTGGTCAATTTTAACTTGTGAATTTTAACCTGCATTTTACCTGTGTATATTTGCTATATCATATTTATTTATTTATTTATTTATTTATTTATTTATTTATAATTCAAACGTATATGCCGCCACTCCCCTGGGGCTCGGAGCGGCTTACAAGAACAGGCTAAAATCTAACACAATTTAAAAACAATTTAAAACAATTTAAAACCAATTTAAAAACAACACTATCAGAGATCAAAGGCCTGTCGAAACAGATATGTCTTACATGCCCTATGGAAAGCTGATAGGTCCCGCAAGGCACGGACTTCAGATGGCAGAGTATTCCAGAGTGATGGTGCTAGTGCTGTAAAGGCTCTGCGTCTGGTTACTGTTAGATGCAAGGTCTTGACACTGGGAATTTCCAATAGATCTTGGTCTTCAGAACGGAGGGATCTCTGGGGTTGGTAGGGGGTGAGGTGGTCCCTTAGGTACATTGGCCCCAGACCATGCAAGGCCTTAAAGGTAAGTACCATCACTTTAAAAGTGATCCGGTGCTCAATTGGTAACCAATGCAGCTGTAGTAAGATTGGTGTTATGTGGCATCTCATCGGAATTCCCGTAAGAAGCCAATCAGCTGCATTTTGTACCAACTTGAGCTTCCGGATCACCAACAGAGGAAGGCCAATGTAGAGGGCATTACAGTAGTCCAGTTTTGAGATGACCTTAGCCTGGATGACCATAGCTAGGTCGTCCCTGGACAAGTAGGGGGCCAGCCGTCTAGCCTGCCGCAGATGAAAAAAGGCGGTTCTGCTAACGGTGGAGACCTGGGCCTCCATTGTCAGCAGAGGGTCCAAAGGAACTCCCAGACTCTTTACCAATGATGACTGAGGAACCCCACAAAATAGGGGGGACCTCTCAGAGACCAGGCCTCCCCTCTCCACTTGCTGTCCACAGTTGTGAAGAAAGGAGGACAGCCAATTTAAAGCTGTCCCCCTGACTCCAACAGCAGCAAGGCAGTAGGTCAAAAGATTGTGGTCGATTGTGTCAAATGCTGCTGTGAGATCCAATAACACAAGCAGCGCCGACCCGCCCTGGTCAAGCTGGCATCAAAGGTGATCCGTGATGGAGACCAGCACAGTGTGTTCTGTTTTACCATGTTGTACCGCACCTCAAGCTATGAGGAAAGGTGAACAAACAACAACAACAACAACAATAGTCCTAGACACTTGGGAAGTGTCTGACATGTGATCCAATACAACAGCCAGCAAAGTGATCTTGTCTGCTGTGGACTCATCTTGTTGTGTTTCAAATAATAATAATAATAATAATAATAATAATAATAATAATAATAATAATAATAATAATATGCCCTTTTGCCTCAGACATTCATGCTCCATCAACATTACTGCAATATTCACATTGTCTCTGTTTGTGTGATTTTCCAAGCAAAAGTATATTGTCATTATCTATCTCTGTTATAAGGACCCTTAATTCTCTATAGTAGAGTTTCTTAAACTGTGCTCCTCCTGCTGATAAGCTGATTTCTGGGAGCTGAAGTTCAAAATGCAGTTTCAGAAACACTGCCCTATAGGAAACAGATTTTGTCTGATTTTGGAAGCTAAAAAAGATCAGCCCTCATTAATACTTGGTTGGGAGACAGCCAATGCATCCCAGGTGTTGTAGGCTATGTTTCAGAGCAAAGAACTTCAAAAACAATCTTTGAGTCTTCCTTGCCCAATAAAATCCTCTGAAATTTATGAGGTCACCATAAGTCAACAGGCAACTTGAGGGTACATACTAGGACCATGCAAAAAGTCATTTGTGCCCCCTATGTCAGATCTATTTTGTAAGAAGTGAGTTTTAAAATGCAACGGGCCTCAACGCAAAAAAAAAAAAAGAAAAAGAAAAAAAAAGAACTGAAACACTCACCTATGACTTTTTGTTAAAGTTCGGTAAGCCTCGTAAGTCTCCCTAAGTCAGTTTCATTTTCAGCAAGCAAACTGTACCAGTGGGGTGAAGCCAAAGAAGCCACCATTGTGAGAGGGCAAGTGAGCTGAGAATTCTGAGAAATGTAGTTTGGGAAGGCAAGAACCCCTGTAATGGGTCTTGAATGGATAATTCAAGAGAATACCTCTTACCTTAATAAAAGATGTTTTCCAAATAAACTAAGTCTGCTTGCAAACCAATGGAGACTGTCATGGTGAGCACCAGTACATCAAAATATATCACTACACAAAATGTCTCTGTGTCTGTGACACTGTCAAAAATGACGGTGTATTGGTCACGGGGAGAAATACAATGAAAAATGAGAGAAACTACATAAGAAGAGATCCTTCTGTAGCTAATGCTGAATTGCCCTTTCTTTTACCACTATAGCAAGAATGCAAAGAAATCCCAAATTGCACATACACCGACAATTTGCTGTTGTCATTATTTGCCATTAAGTTAGATTCATCATATGCTGATGCTGTGGATGAGATCTGTTAGTATCAGCACTACAATTCACAATTATAGGGCTCTGTTTCCACTTTAATTGTAATTCATAGTTTGGTCAGAGGCAACTTTATGGCTGAAAATTCAATATTCCTCCCTAAACTCCAATCCAGGTTTCCACAGGATGAAAGCATGGTGGATAAAGTGAAAACATAGCACTATAATTCTGTAGTGTAAATATAGACCCCGTGATCTTGTAAAACACAGAGCTATGGCTTCCTTGTCTGAGTCAATCCATCTATAACATGCAATTCCTCTTTTCCTACTGCTTTCCATTTTATTCAGCATTATTAACCTTTCCAATGCATCCAGAGTACAAGATCCTCAGTTTAGTCATTTTAGCTTCTAGTAAGATTTCAGGGATGAATGATTTGGAAGGATCATTTGTTGCAGGGGTCTTTCTGTTACAAACAGAAGTTGGTGCTTGTTCACTAGCTGCTTTACACTATCTCCCAGAAACCTCAAAGTCTGTCATGTTTCTGTTGAAATGGCTAACAGCAGCATCAGCATTGCTCAGTTTAGTGGGATGGTAATGAACTGGTACACAAAAAGATGTTAACATTGCAAGGGTAACCCAACAACCACGATAAGCCCAAAGACCTGGATGAAGGGTGTGAATTGAATTTTACATATTCTCTAAGATTTTCTTTGAACTCATTTATAAGTGAATGTGGTCGCACTTTATTTTTAGATTATAGAACGTATTCTTCAATGTTCTCTGCTGCTTTCTTACCACAAAAACATGACAAATGGGGAGCAGCATTACATCAGAAAAATTACTTTCTTCAAATGTACAGTAGTTCTCAGTATCCAAGTTAGCTGTAGCTTCTTTAAGCTCTGGTTATTTATGTGTGGCTTGATTATTTTTATATGTATCTTTTAAAAAATCTCAGAAAACTACCTCTTCTGACTGGTGTGGTGTTTTTAAAAACTCCTTCAAAAGATTAAAAATTAGTAAGCAGTTCATCAATCTTCTCATTTTGTTTTGTTTCAGAAGTGGGAAAGGATAATCCTGGAAGACACTTTTCAAGCCAAAAGGCAATGGCAGATCTAATTGCTCACGTGAAACTGTGCCCGTTCATTGACAATGTGGCATTAATCTTTATCTCCAAACACATGTTTTTGCGAAATGCAGGTGAATGCAGTCAGGTAGATACTCCCAAAGCTATCTTTAAATCTAAAGATTTAGGGCTTGCAAAAAAGCTAGAATAATTTAACACTGGTCTGCTGCTTTCAGCATTTGTCATACCCATGTATACCAATCTAGCCCTTTTCTCTCTATAAGATGTATATGGTGGAGAAGGAGGATAAGAATGGCTGGTTACCAAGAAGACGACATACATGGTAGCAAAAAGGAGGCAATATACTTCTGTCAGGTGGGCATATTTCTATGGTGTTGTTCAACAGTAATTGCGACACATGAGGTACTATGACTTCAGTACAGATATGGTTAGGTAAAGTCACCACATGCTGACAACTCTATATAAAAATACTTGCTGATGAATCAGGTTATAGGTGATTCAAAATAGGAGTTTGATATGAAATTTGGGGGAGAAGGGGAGGTAAAGCTGAGGGAACATGACAGATGGAATATGGTTGTCAGGAGACCAGTCCTGGAAGAACAAAGGGTTTTTTTCTCCATGACATTTGGTACTGAAATGAGAGGAAAGAAGTAAAAAAAAAAATGACAGGCAGCTCAACATATGAAAATATGATAGCCATCTGTTCTTGCTCTTTTCACCCCCTCCCTTTGTGTGAGAAAAGAAGAAACTGTAGAATTGTATTCAGAATCATCTCCTTTGTGACATTTTAATTTCACTTTTACATTTAAAAAAATCAATACTAATGGCAGCTAACAAACAGTACAATGTAGTTAAATTGCATTCTGAAACTGTATTATATGGTAGTGTAGATGGGCCTCTCTGTCTGGTTCATCTATCTAAGCATCATCTATCTAATCTATTTTGCTTTAAAAGAAAATATGAAAGAATGACTTCAATGCAAACACACACAATAAATTTTACATTGTCTGTAGAACTGAATTATACTTGTTACCATTTTGAAAAATGAGACATTTCAAAATACGATTATAAACTGCACTTTAGCCATCAGAAAATATTCTCACCATTTACAATCTGTGCCAAATTTGAAACAGATACAAACTTCAAACAAATCCAAATTAACCCTCCCTCACTCCTGTCCATTTGAAGAAATGTTTTCTGAGATATTCTCTGCCCCACCCCTGTTTCTCTAAGTGGCCTGATGTGGAGGACCAGAAGGGTGCCCCCTTATCCCACCACTGCTGCTTATTAGTATCATTGCTGCTATCCCACTTGTATGTGCCAAAGACTGTCTCTATTTTTATGCTTGTTGAAAGCAACTGGCTCTTTTCTTTCCTGAAAACCCGCCATGAACCAGCAGCCAACAGTTAAAGAATAGGAACTAGTTCATGGACTGCCACTCTTAACTAGCAGTCCTCTAAGGGAGTGTGATACAGATCAGCTTTGCAGACTATAAACAGGCCACCAATGTTGAATTCCATTGCCATAATCTCATTGGTCATAAGTTCCAAGGATTCAAATCCATGCCTATGTCAAGTAAGAATGGAAGGGAGGGAGGGAAGAAATATTCTTGCTATAGCAATGTAGTTATTTCTCCCTGTCTAAAAACAGTTCAGACTAAATAAGTAAGCTAAATTCAAGGTAGCAAGCAATTTAGTGCTGGAGAGTGGCATGAATGCATAGCTTTCCAAGTGGTAATTGCAATCAAATTGAACAAGGCCTGCAAAATTACAGACCTTTGCTGTGGAGGAATTAAGAGTCTAAAACTCTCACCACTAATGAATAATCATCATCATCATCATCATCATCATCATCATCATCATCATCATCACATTAGTGTGCACTGTGCTTTTTTTTATTATAGATTTCACAAATATGACTTTGGTGCAGCAGTGCTTACAAAATCTGTTTTGAGATCTGTTTTGAGATATATCTAGATTGCGTTTTCCCCACAGAATGGAAATATGTCTCTTCCAGATTGTGGTGGTCTACCAGGCAAATAATCTGTCTCTTTGACTCCCCTCAAGCTTTTGGCATGCAATAAATACATACATTTCTTCCAACATACAATTCCATGTGCCTTTCCTAAAGTAAGGGCCTTCTAAGTTTACTTTAGAGAAAGGGATGCTAAATCTCTTCATGCTCAATCTCTTCATAATTTCCCTTCTATGTAGAGACAAACATGTAGTGCAGTGGTTCTCAACCTGTGGGCCCCAGGTGTTTTGGCCTACAACTCCCAGAAACCCCAGCCAGTTTACCAGCTGTTAGGATTTCTGGGAGTTGAAGGCCAAAACATCTGGGGACCCACAGGTTGAGAGCCACTGATGTAGTGGGAGGGGAGCTACATGTCCAGGGACCTTATCCCATGCCTCCTCCCCATTTTAAAACAGTTCTAATCTATTATGGGTACTATTTATGATGGAGCTCTTCCCACGACACAGACAAACTTCCTGCCAGCTCCATCATGATTCATCAGTTCAATGTCAGAAGCAGTAATAAAAAATCCACTAACTCCTGGGGGCCTTTTTCACAGTAGACAATGATATGTGCTATGATTCTAGTTTTGACTGTAATGGTTCCAACATATGGGATTTGCTGCTATATTTTTCATAGTTTGAGTAAGCCCCTGGAATCCAAATCAGTTGGATAAAGAGCAGTTGGCAACATCCTGCATGAAGGGTCTCAAAAGGCTTCATTTTAATTTTAATTTTATAGGGCAGAGTAGAACTATTAAATAAATAAATAAATAAATAAAGTAAACAATGGTGGGTAAAATCAGCAATAACACCAAGCCTTGGGGGTGGTGGTGGTGTGTGTGGGGGAATAAAACATACAGACTTTTAAAGGCATTTAGCTTCCTGAATCAGAGCAACAAGTGGCACCCCAGGACCAGCCCTATTTCCTGAGAAGGAAATGTAGATAGTAGGGCTGGGCGGCTTCGTTTCGTAATTTCGTAATTCGTTAAAAATTCATTATTTTTTTGATAACGAAGCGATATTGAACCATTCAGGAGCAACTAAAAAACGAAACGAATTTTTCCAATTCGTTTCGTAATTGTTTCGAAATCTCGTTATTGATTCGTTATTGATTCGTAAATGTTTCGTTATTATTTCCGCATGTCTGGTGCAAGTTTTAGGGTTTGCTGTTTGTTTTCTCAGTGAAAAAAATATAATTATCACACCAACAGTCAACAACAGAGGGAGAGGGAAGCTTCAGAAGTTTTTTTAGCGTATTGCGCGATCGCGGCCGCCATTAACGAATCGATTCGTAATCGATTCGTAATTGTTTCGTAATTGTTTTACGATTTCCGAAATTTCGTAAATATCGAACTTTTTTTAAGGAAAATTTCGGAATTCTTTTAAATAACGAAACGCAAAAAAACCCTAAAAACGAATCGAGTTTAGAAACAAATTTTTCCGTGTTTGGACAGCCCTAGTAGATAGTGTAATCTACTAGCAAATTAAAAGACTTCCTTTGGCACCTGGGGCAGAAATTCTCATAAGCTGCTCTCTTTATATTTGACTGTAAAACACACAAACAGATTGGTATACCCAATCTGTTTTCTGATGTGACTACCTCTGTCACCTTCCTGGTAGGTTGACCTTCCTGGTAGCCTCTCCCTTTCTCTTGCCTGATAAAGGCACAGCAGCCAAGGCTTGTAAAGTCATTCTCATTCTGGATGTAGAAAAACAAAACCACAATTGCTGCTCCATCTCTATGCAAGTAAAAGTACACCATACAGTTAAGCCATTCACTATTTCTTCCCAAATTAACTGTCTGCTGCAGCTGCCCCGTTCTGCTTAAGGGAAGGTCTAGTCCTTATTGCTTTTCTTTTTGGAGGCTCTATAATTCTAGCATCTTTATGTTCATGATAATGATGATCTCCTTGTAACCAACTTGAGGGCAGAGACCATCCTTGACCATGTTCTTTGAGTAAGGGAGAGAAGCCTTTTATCTCTGCTTCAGAGAGTCTTTCTGATCAGCCCTCTGTCCAGTGGTACAGCTCACTGGCTATTGTTTTTATCCTACGGCAACTTGAGTGTGTGTGTTGTTTTGCTCTTCATCTGTTTGCCAAAATTAAATATTTATTGAATTTCTAAGAATGTACAAGTTGTATATCACAATAACATATTTATCTGACAACACAACTTGTAATCTTGCCTGCAACTTCAGGGAGAATTTTGTTTATTAATGCAGAGCGAATATGGAAATGGATTGCGCCCTGGGAAATGTTTTTATTGAAGTGCAAAAGATGGGGGGGGGGGGGGGTAGTTCTAAATTTAGCATTAATTTTTATTAGAGAAAGTTTCCAATGTACTTAAGATAAAAACATGGAAGATACACGGTTGCCTTATTTTAAACTTTGATCTTTACAGGTTTATGGAAGGCCATGGGTGAGCCAGCTGGGAGAATTCTGGCAGTGGATCAGGAGACCAACTTCCCTAAGCTCTGGAAGCAAAGTTATTCATCAGGTTGCCATGTTCCAGAAGCATTCTCTCCTGATATTTCACCCACATCTATGGTAGGCATCCTCAGTAGTTATGAAGTCTTTTGGAAATTAGGCAAGTAAGGTTTATATATCTGCAGAATGTCCAGGGTGGGAGAAATAACTCTTTTCTGCTTGAGGCAATCTTCCCCAGAGCTTGGGAAAATTATATTTCAGATCTTAGTTCCAAGGCACTCCAACCAGCATGACCAGTGGGTATGCTGGTTAGAGATTTGTGGGAGCTATAGACCCAAACAGTAGCAATAAAAGACTCATCACTAAAGTAGGAAATTCAGCATGCCCTCCCTCTGCTCTCTACCTGCAACTCAACAAAAAAAAAAAACAACTGGAACATGTTTTCCTTTTAGTTTCAGACCTACGTATCAACTGTATCAAAGAACTCCCTTAGTGAAAACTGGAGATGGTTTATGTACCTGTAATTGCTTTGTAGAAGAGGGAATTTCAGCAGGTGTTGCTTGTCATGCAACCAAGTAACAAGCAACACTTACTGAAATCCCAGTGTCCACACAACCATTAAAGATACAGAAGACCTGTTCAGTTTTCAATCGGGCAACTGTAGTTAGGATGAAAGGCAAAATTTGTAAGGATTTGATCCAAACTTGCCACTATGCAAACAGAAGGTCTTCTTCCATTGCATGGGAAATATCCAGGAAGTAGCTCTCACTGAAGCAAGCCCAACTCTCTATTTCCTTTTACTCTTCTGGATTTCTAATTCATACTTGATGAGATCATGACTTGATAAAAAAATGTTT